AAATTATAATTATATAAAATAAATAAAACACGTATTATTTTATTTTAAATATTTTTTCCGTTTGATTCCATAAAATATAATACATTTTATAGAAACTATATAAATAAATACGCATTGGTAAAAATATTTAAATATTTTTCAGCGTATGGTATTCGATAAAAACGAAATTTTTCTCAAATTTCATATCATATGTTTTAAATGTTAAAATAGTACCAGAAAATTGATATTTTGTTATTTTCATAGAAGCTGAATAAAGAGAAAATGGTACGTGTTTGTAAATTTCAACAAAACTACACAAAATACAATCCGCAAAGCATAAAACATTGCGAAACGATACTAATGCGTGACAGAGGAGGCCAAATACACATAAGATTGCTCTTGGGAGTTTCGCGCCGAGGAGGAGCTTTTTATTTCGTCGACGCAAGCGATACTCGGCGAGCGGAGAATCGAGATCGACGCGAAACTACATTTGGCGACTTCGTGAACTAGATGGAAGAGTTGTTATCCCTTTTACGCCCCTTTTTCTCTCCCGTCTCCACCTTTATTTTTCTCACGATTCAATTCCTATCACGTCGACGAAGTCGGAAATTATTCTGCTTGCGGCGCGTGGAAGAGCAGAATCCATATTCAACGTGATTTCCGCGATTGCTGGAAACTTTGACTTCCTGTACACGCCTATGTACAAACCAAAATCAATATCTCATTTTAAATATAAGGAAACATTTTTCCGTTCTTCCGATGACGTGATTTTATACCACGTTAACTGACATCGTGAATTCCATTAGTCGCTCTATAATAACCCAAACCGATCGATAGATGCGAAATAAATCTGGAACCCAAATAATATCCTGATTCTATTCTTAGAAGAGAAAAAGAAATGAAAATTCTCTGATGTAATTTTGTTAAGTGCACAGTATATATACATACGTATACATTTCTCTTCATATTTTTAATACACACAAAAGTTTCAGTATCAGATACTATCGACAATAATACATTATAATTTTCACATTTCCTTTCAGCTTTAAATTACTTAATGTAGAAAAAATTTATGTAATATAAATTTTATTTAGTTTTCTTTAGAATTACATCACTCTTTCAATCCATAAATCTATCGCATCTCTTTTATTTTCGAGATTAAATATTTCTGTAATTAAACTTTACATTAAGTATATTTTTAATTTAAATTTTATTCGTAACCTTTTAAGAAATTTGATTTATTAGAATTCTTAAAGTTTCAATTAAAACTTTCGTTGAAAACGTTTAAAGAGATCAGTTATAAAGCTTGAGCTAAATTGCAGTAACGCTTTAGAATGTATTGTAATATGTCAAAATACTCTCATTTCTCGAATTATGCATCTTTCTCTATTTATCAGGTATCGATCATGCCGTAACATCCGAAATAATTTAATTTTCTAATCATTTAGCTAATCCCCTAAATTAGTGAGTCTGTACATTACATTAGTAATTAATCTGGTTTATTCTCTCCTCCCTCGTCGCTGTATTACCTTGCATGTGCCATAAAGTACACCGAAATGGTCATGACTTGTGCGGATTATGTTTAAGGAGTTTCCGCGCGCGGTACTGAAAACGGCGTTATTAATCATTCGTAGCTTAAAGTTTTCCGCGATTTCTCGTAAATTTCATCCAACTCACATCCAACGGAGTTAGAGCAACTTGATACTGGGTCAACGATATGTAAGGCGCGGAGTACAAAGTGCTAGGTGCGCGCAGCAGTTTACATCCCCGTTGCATTCTGCAAGATTCCGAGTTTCTCTACGTAGCATACGGAACAAGTCCCCGTAATTAAGTCGATTCCGTCCATTCGAATTAACTTCAATAATTTATTTCGGGACGCATCCTCTACTCCGTCGGCGTGGCGTGCCGCTGAACTTTATACAGTTCCGCGACGTTATTCGCTGTAAATTAACGAAACACGAAATGCGCAATTTTTTCTTCGAGCGGTGGTCAATCGAAAATGTTAGAGAAATTAATAATGCTAGATTAATCGCATCTTATGTTTCGTCAATCGTTTATTATTCGGAATGCACTATGTTGTTCTTAATTTACGTATTTTATGATAATTTAAATTTATTATTTTTAACAGATTAATAGATTTAATGTTTATAATAGTCTGAAATACTATGGCTTCTCCTTTCCATTTCACACATTATTATTATTATTATTATTATTATTATTATTATTACTATTATTATTCATTCAACTATTATTATACTATTATTATATATATGTATATTTAGATTTAATAATGTAAAATGGAAAGGCGAAATCCGCAGTATTTTGAAATTTCCCGATTTATACCATTCGTTTCCGCCATCTGAATTTGATTTATTCCAATCTCGGCAATGCGCAATAATCCGACATCTGAATATTTGGATGTATTCGGAATTCGGATTCACTTCTCATGGTTCCCCAGCATGCCCGGATGCAATATCGGCGGTTCGCTTAGGAGACGCCTATCGCGAAGAAGACAATCGCCTCGCCTTCCCGGCATACCTCCTCCCAGACGAGTGCATTTTGCGAAGTCCGCGACTTTCGCCGCGTCGTCTGCGGATTCGGAAATTCATTTGCGTGACGAATATATCGATCTCCCATTGCGCTTTTGGATCGCTCCGTTATACGGAGCTCTCCGCAACGCCGGGGAAAGGGTCGACCTGCACCAAGTATTCCCCTTATTGCACGTACTTCCTGTCACGGCGTATTGACCCGGAAACACGTATATTCCGGGCAGCAGCATCGATGCCGGTGGTCCTCCCGTGAGACCATCAGGTACCACCACGGATATGATTCTCGATAATGTTCGAATCGCGGTGCTATCGAGTGTAAGGTTTAACGCGATTTCCGCCGGATACCTTCGGCCTTCCGGAGCGTCGATCTCTTCGACACGGGTTGCGCGAAAGGGTTCCCGATTGTCTCTTCCTTTCATTCCTCTTTTCGTTCCCCTAACGAGGGTCACGGCGAATCGGACAGAATCGGGGTAACGCCAGTTTTTTGTTCGTTCTCACGGACTTTTGATAAACGGCACCGAGAGAGAAAGAGAGAGAGAGAGAGAGAGAGAGAGAGAGAGAGAGAGAGAGAAAGAGAGAGAAAGAGATTGAAGGCGTTTGATGGATGAATTGTTCGCCACGGGATATCCGCGGTGTGAAATCAACTCGTAAAAAAAAATACGTGATTTATAAAGATAGTTATAGAATTTATTTTCTACTACAGGAAAAATGTAACGACCAATTCCTTGATGAATATGATGTCCGTTAATGAAATTTTTTTTAAGAGCTTCAGATACGGGGACATTTTATGTTTATAATTAAAAAGTTTATGACTTATAAGTTATATTATGAAAGAGAGAGAGAGAGAGAGAGAGAGATTTTTCTCTTTTAAATTTTTCTTAGATAATCGATATAAGAATGGCTGTATAAATTTACTTTCTGGTTCCATTTAATCAAATGATCCATAAGAAAGCTTTACAGCCAGAAGGGCATAAAATTGATTGTATTGATACTTTACATGCAGATGAACATTGAAAAACCTTATAAAAAAATCGCCATAAAAACTAATTATACACATCGAAAATCCATAACTTCGTGGGGTTTGTCAGCGTGGGTGCGGGTAAGACGCTTACAGTTAAATCACCCGGAGCATCGGCGAAGAAGCGCGGTAATAAACTCGCCTTCGCTATTTTTATGGCCGCCGTACAATATTTGCCCCGGTCTAAAGCACACTTGTAATTCCACTCGATCAAACCGGGACATTGAGTCTCTTTTTGTGCGCAATATATTCAAAATATTTTGCAAAAATCACACGTGAATTTTTCGTCGGAAATTTTCTCGCTCGAAAACTCGCTGCTCGCGCGCGCGGCCAGCCGCCCAGCGATTTCAATTCAACGAATAGCGACAAAACTTCTATTTGATGGGCAAACTTCGGCCCTCACGTCCAACATCAAACTTCACAAACAATTAATTCGAGGGATATCGGGGATCCATCGTGCCCGCCAGCCAGCATCGCATTTCCCGTGATTCTTCCCGCAAATCGCACGACCGCGGTCATGCATGATACTCTTGATAGGGAGAGAATTAAAATAAAAAGGTCACAGGGCCATGCGAGAAAAAATAGCGCTCGTCATCTCGAGCCTAGACGTCATAATCGCTTCTCATACATGGAAGCTTTAACGGTCATTCAAATGTCACGGCTTACTTCCTGCCGTTTCCGTTTAGTTAAAAAAATAATGGTGGATTTGCCAAGTTAAAAATAATACGTGCATTCGTTATATAACTGAGAGCGAAAGGGTTACGCTTCGTTCGGCTTAACGGCAGCCGTTTATTTTTCCTCGCAAGAACATGTTTTCAGAGGAGACCTTTGTCATCGTACATGCAGCAAACCTGTCCGTACATACACACTTTTTTGTCAACCATAAAATGTCCGAGCGCTTTACGTCGCTATATGCATTTACACGTCGCTTCATTATTCACAATTGAAGCGATGCAAATCGCTGTTTGCATTTCGAAAACGTTCTACATGTTGTACAAGGGCCGTCCCTGCCCTGTATAGGAGCTCTCTCTCTCTCTCTCTCTTCGGGTGGAAGGCGATGAGCTCGGGTCGTCGGGTCTCGATTCAAGTCAGCGCTTTTGAATTCGTACATGTACGAGACGGGACAAAACGCGGGATTGGAATGTCGAATAAGAGGCAATCCGTGGAGTCCGAGAGGAGAACAACGATGGCAAAAATGCCGGGGCAGTTCTGTGTATCGAGGAGCCACGATTCCGTCGCGATGGCCCGTATTGTCGTATAACCGCGACGTATACTGAAATTCTGGAAAGGCAAATGCTCAAGGATGATGCTCAAAAGCGACCGTATTACGGCTTTCTTCATGACAATCTTATCTCGGAAGGGATAAACGTGCGTTATACAAAGTTCACTTTATTTCAACGCATTACGAGAATATTGTATAACGTCTTTTAGGAAGGCGATTTTATACATATATATACTCGCCCAACGCAAGTAGTAGTTTATTTATCAAAGCAAAGAGTCCAATAAAAACGCTGTATAAAATTTTACATGCGACGGAGGAAAGAATAGTGAAATATGAAATACTCATTACGTTTTTATACCGTAAAAACGGACGGTATAATTTCACACAGGACATGTTCATTATGTTTGTATTTCAAATTTTATATTATGCATTTGCAGTGGTATAAACGCGAATTACACAAATTATCATATACGCATTGAAAATGTTTCCCTAAGAAAGATACGCGAAATTATAATACCTCGCCAATTTTCGCTCTACTTCGCGATCCTATATTCTTTCTCTACTTTTCACGTGTTTCTGTGAGAAAGATTTGACAATATAATTTTTTATTATATAAGGACGCTTCAGAGTGACCTGAATTTTGGCTCTTTATACGCCGAGAGCCGTAACTAAAGTGACCATTCGGTTAACCTGCACCTCATTCGGCTAGATCGAGGAGGTCGGAATTACGATGTGATTCGCCTTTATGAGCGCTCTTTAATTACGAGAACATAAGACGAATCCGCTTACCTCCGCCTTCTGGCCGTGTAGAATCGGTGCTTCTTCTCTCAAAATTCTGTGGCATTAGCTTACAATCTCATAGACATTATCTGGAACATTGAAAAATATTACTTTATTTTATAAATGTATTTACGGGACGTTTAATTATATACTTCTTTCTCCGATAGAGATGTTTTCTCCGAAGAATAGACTAATTTGGCGAAAATGTGCTGTTATTCCGAAACGTACACCGCAATTGTTTATTTTATCTCAGTAGAACAGGTTACAAGTTTTAGAGCACTTAATTTTAAAAAATATCAACAATCTCGAGAAATAACATTTTTCTTCCCGAATTTTTCCCACATTTCTGCAAATTATTACCTACCGGTGGGATCTCTTTACTTTGAAAGATTTAAAATGCGATTTTCTCTCATTCGGTTCGTTCAATCAGATACGTTTACTTCACACAGTTCATTTACCTCTCTCTAACATTTGATATATAGCTGGATAATTAAATTTCACCTCAGCAATCACGCTTACGTATCAAACGAAATGAGGGCGTTTGTGTATCATTTGGGTCAGATTTCTTCTCTTTTCGCGCGGGTACATAATTTATACGCCGGATGGGACCCTTTTCGTACAGCAAAAAGCAGAAGACAATTTGTCGCCCGGTAAAAAATTAGGGCAACGGCATAGTTTTTCTCCCCTCCCCCTATTTTAATTTGCTCCTATTTTGCGTCTTTGGTTTTAATTATGAGCACCCTCATCTCCCTCCTTCGATTTCCAGAGCGAATCGTACCGATCGATCGCATTGAAAATTGTAAGGCTAGAGACGTTATCGTTCCTCGGGGACATCGATCCGACTGGCTCTTCTTTTCTTCGTTTTTTATTGTACCGCGCGCAGATGATAATTGACGACGCGATCACTGCAGTAACTTCCGGATCCCGGGAGCGAATCTCGTCTTTTGTTACTCCCCGAGTATCAATGCGCGCCTAAGTTCGCTAGTATCCTCGGTATGCGCATCTGACGTTTTCAGCGTTTACGGGATCTTCTCCGGTTACCCGCTCCCGCCCTCTCCATGCCCGCGTTCGTGCTTTGTTGCATAAAGTAATGACGACGGAGAGAGGTTCCGATGCACAGGTGCAGTAAAGCAGCGCGCGACGTCAATCTCTCGCATCCGATGTATCCGACAATGTATTCCGGGATTATCATCATTTCTGTGTAAATGTATATAGGGTGTGCGGCGAGTATCAAAGAACGATTTACGAGAACTGACAAATATTTCAATCGGCCACGCTCTCGGCGCATAATTTTCACGATAAAAGTATAATAACATTAAAACACCAGTGATTGAAATTTTGGGAGTACACAACGCGACGCAAAATTATAAACCTTTCCTCTGATCTTTAATAAAACACATTGCAATTCGGGAACTCTGTTTAACGAGAGATTTAACATGGAAATTATTAAACACGAAGGACACCGATCGGTATAATATGTTTCGAAATGAATAAAATTAATTATTACATATTTTTCTACTTTATGGACTACGTGATGCTGGAACAAGTATCATTCTCTACAGATCACGTCCGTTTCGCCGCAAAGTTTGTTAAGTCCCCGCAAGGATTATAATCCTAAAAGTTGCTGGGGAGAGTTGCCATCCCTATGCAAAATTCATTCGAGACGGCTTAAACCGCGCCCCAACGGAAATAACGTATTCGATGTTTTGCGGGAAAACGACACTTTTACAAAGTCCCCCGTATCCCGGGGAACTGAATCCAATTTGGCGACGGCCATATACCCGCGCCCCGTAGAAAGATTCATCAAAATTTCATTCTTCACTCGCTTAAACATGAGGCGAGAGCGTACCGCGTAATTATCAAGCTGACCGCGTAATAACGGGCGGGTGTAGCGGGTGTTATTGTCTCTTTTTTTCATGTCCCTTTTCACTAAACTACCAACGAAGTTGCTAAATAGATTAACATGTCCCGCACAAGCCTTCCCTCGACTCCAGGCGAAAATGTATCTGCCCGCGCGTAGCCAGCATTTTATTACGCAAAGCGCGACTTTTGTTTAAACGTCGACTTCGTTGAGCCTGTACAACAAAAAGTTTTTCTTACTGCATTAGCAAGAGCGTAATAAAAAAAAAATTAGCTTTATCCTAATAATATTAATTTTATGCAGGAATAATTTTTTACGGTTTTGTTACATTACAAAAGATGAAGTATTATTATTATTATTATAGTCATATTATTTTATTATAGTATATTATTCATGTAACAAAGGCGAAACCACTGAGATTTATATTTATATATAGCCGCGTTACAGAGTTTGTTTTCATTTCAAAATGACTGCTGTCAAAAAATTGTGTGTGTGTGCATGTGTGTGTTTGGCGCGTGCATGCGCCAAAATTTATAGTACATTTAAATATTTCGTGCGTACATTATCTCATTTAATTATCTTATTTCAACGATAGTTGTGCAATCTTCAACGTGAAAGTAATTACGAGAGATTTGTATCACGCGTCGTTTTAAAAGTGTCGTTTAAACCGGCAATGCGAAGTGAAACGCAAGTATTCAATTTACATCAAATCTCATTATCAGCAGACTTTAATCAGGTTACCTCATTAAAGAGTTTAATTAACAGCAAAGCGGTAATCCATGGAATCCTCATATTTCAGTATCAATTAAGTAGTGGAGAATTGCGCGGCCGACAGTTCGTTTTTATTCTTCTTCTGCCTCTTTTTTTTTACGAGAATTGCAGCAAATTTTTACATGTCATGTCTACCCGATAGAAATTATCATACGCAGCAATTTATGAATGTTTTTCGTTGCGCACTTTGCCAATGTAACGCTAATTGAATTTCTGTTTAAACGAACTTTAAATGGAACCGCTCGGTATTTTTTATCGCTTATACAAATTACAATTTTATTTGACAAACTTATAACTTTTGAAATTGAATAATTCTGTAATTAGGTCAATCGTCCAGTCTCTTTGGAAAGAACTAACTTAATATTCATCAAAGAAATATATTTTTACCGAAAAATGCGCATTGAGTGCATTTTCTCGCATATTCACCGCTGAGTAAAAAGCAAATTTTTGCGAAATTTAATATCCTTTGCCCTCGCGGAGGATTGTCGTTAACATGCTGTTTTTGCGAAACTCTTGCAAAACCAAAAAAAAAAGAGAATGAAAAAGAAAAAAAATAACAAGCACTACGAAAAACGTTCGCTCTTTTTGGGCGAAATTCGTTCTCGGGCTCGCGTGTACATAGCTGCCATTAACGAAAACTTCGTGAAAATCCGATATTTCACCAGGAAATTTACCGAATTCTGCCAAAATTCAATTGCGATTAACGTTCGGGATATTCAATGCACGAGCACGTGCCAAAAGAGATATCGGATATCGAGGTATTCTTGACAGATGACACTCCGCATGCCGGACAATTCGTATCGCATCACGTTTTTTTTCCCCCCCTCCGACGCTCATCATTTCGCATCCATTTCGCGCGTGATGAATCTTCGGTTACCCGCAGTATCGATAATGCCATTAGGTTTTCGACGCGATCCCCACGTGTGCGCCAGAAACTCGTAAATAATCCACGTGGACAACCGGCGCGGGAGAATAGCATCGCGAAACGCGCTAATTGGCAGGACGTGTTCGTAGCAGCGTGCCTGCAAAAAAGTGCGACAACACGCGGGAATATATCGGACCGGTTTGGAAAAATATTGAAAGTAAAGGTAAACACAGGCACCCGCAAACTCATTCGACATGCAAGTCTCCATTACGCCGTTTTCGTCGGAGACAGATTGACATCGAGTAAATATGACGCACCATATTTTTTGGATATGTATCTCTTTTTATGAAGTACCACGTATATGCCGAGTGAAAATCAAATTTGCATTTAAAATTATAATAAAAACCGATGACGGAAGACGTGATAAATATCCACTGTCTCGCGTAACTTCAAAGGTTGAACATTAAAAAAATGGACACTTCGAGCAAAAGTGTGATAACATCAATGCGGTGAATTCTGTAAAAGCACATGCGTCAATCATCGATTGACTTTCATCACGAATGTAAAGGCAAATCGATGAAATTAGAATGAGAGAACTTGTACATAGGACACATCAATGAAATTTAGATCTCAATGGCACACAACTGGCTTCTAGTAGAATAATTTGAATATATAAGACGATATATACATGTAGAATGCGGGAATATAGAATGGGACGTGTTCGTCTCAACATCTGCTTGTTCGGTTATGTTGCGGGTACCCAGAGATTAATAGCCCCGAAGCACGAAAACCCCCATCCGCCGTCCGTACCTGCTCTCGCATGGATTGTCAACGAGGCTCGGGGAAACGGAAGTTAGTCGCGGGCGAAACCGTGAAGCGGGAAGTGTTTTCGGATATTTGTTCGCGCCGTGTCCGTTTCACTTAGCCTGCAGGACGGCCGCAGCTTATCCGGTGAGTTATACCGTGAAACTTGGCGACGATTTTTATGTCGACCCGATCTGTCGTCCGTGTTTCTCAGGCTAAGTTCAGCAGTACGTAAGTTAGACCGTAAGAACTCGACTTCCGGGCAACTGAATTCGACCGCGGAGCACGCCGATAAATTTCGCGAAATATCGCATGTTTCATATTCGCGTCTTGTTAGCCCGCCAGCAACCCCTCGAGCGCGTTGATTCTTCTACTTTATCATCTAAACTCTCCTACTTTCTCATTCGGCTTTCGACGATAAATGCAAAATGGGATTGATGAAAATATGCGCAAAACAAAACAAAAACTTTACACCAAAAAATACATTTCTCGGCAATCTTAGAATCAACCATTTTTACTTAAAAAAAAAAAAAATAGCAAAAAGTCCATCACATTTTATATGAAATTTATTACTGCTTTTAACGCATTAAATATATTTCGGCGATACAATATTGTGATGCTTGTATAATTACAATTCTGATACAAGAAAATCCATTAGAAATTCAAGCGACGAGCAAACATAAATGCAAAATGGGACACAATTAATAAAAATACGCGCAAAACAAAACAAAAATTTTACACCAAAAAAATAAATTTCTCGACAATCTTAGAATCAATCATTTTATAAA